AAAAAAAAAAAAAAAAAGTTCAGTAAATAAAAGTAACAAAATGAACAAGATCAGATTTAAATAATTCATCCTCAAGTCTTAAATGTATTTGAATTAGTTGGCCAAAATTATAAATTTTACTTACGTTTTAAAAAAATCTGTCTCTCGACGCCCAAAAATTATAAACTGCTTAAAATAAATAAATAAATAAAAGTAAGAAAATAATGGATTAGGTGAAACCAATTTGTCATGTCATTAGAATCTTATGTCTTTCTTTACCTTGGATTTGGAATTTGGGATGGGAGGAGACAACGACGCATCTCGCATCTCACCGACAGAAACAGCCTGGCTGGCTCCGCCACTAAACGCCGAGGTCGTTGTTGTTATCATCTTACCCCGGTATTATTGCCCCGACGTTGACCTAGGGATAATTCCGTTGAAACCCCGTCGTTTCGTGAGCGTCAAGACTCAAAGAGTGCTTTTTACGCTGGTTGTCACGAAATCCACGTGCTATTGGCACATGACATCCGGAAGGCCACGGCGCGGGTCGACCGCCACTTGCGTGGTCTATATTGGAGTTCTCAAAAATGAAAACGCGCAACCTCAAACGTTTTATTTTAGAAGAAACATGCAATCAAACTCTTTGCTTCATGCTGAAGGTTTATTTACTAGTAACAGTAAGTAAATAACTGTAAATAGAAAAGTAGATATTAAAAAAAAATTATGATATTTAATTTAATTTAATTTTAAATTAATTGAGATTCAATGAATTTTTTAAATATTGAAGAATTAATAAAAAAATAAGTAAATAAATGTTATTTTGTCCAATAAATTTAAAGTTTAGATTTTTAATGTCATATTGAAAGAAATTAATTTTTTAAAATTTGATAATGTGATATGTTAACATAAGATACATCTTATTATCTATTTAAATAATTTAATAATAATTTTATTTTACTGAAATAAAAAAATTTAAATTACAATTTTATAATATTTGAGTAGGGTGAATTAAAGAAAAAAAAATTAACTTTTATTATGTGATTCAAAATAAAAAAAAAACATAAAATATGTCTTTAAAATTGTTCAAGAAGAATTAATTTTAAAGTGTGCCTAAGCTGGCCCAAAAATATGTTAATTGTCCAAAATAAGTAAGCCTCTAAAGCTGAGTGAACACCATTTTTTGCCCTTTTTTTTCTAAATTTTTTTTTGTCCTAGTAACTTGTTTGATTTAAAAGAAATAAAAACAAATGAAAGTTATTTTCTGCCAATTCATCTATAAATTGATTGTCTAGCTTCTCTCTCTTTCAAAAGGAAAAAAAAATGTTTTAATTTTAACTTATTGAGGTTGGACCAAGTGACAAAAATAAATTCAAACTATTTTTGATATTATATATTTTAATTTTTTTATTATTATTTGGATACAAATAATATGAAATATGTAGATTAAACAGTTTACCGATAACACTTAAAATTAGATAGACTATATATCCACATTTAAAAAAAATGTTTTAATTGGAAAAAAAATAAATATTTTAATATAAAAATATAAAAATATCTAATAATAACCATAAAATAAATTAAAAAAAATTAAGAACACATTATACTCTATACAATTTTTTTGAACAAATTATAATTGGAGGCGGTGAGAATCCAACCTAACTTAAAGAGTTGAATGTGCACATATTAAATGTGATAAAGTTATTGGTATGTAAGAGTTAGATGTCTATACTTTATATATTTAATGATTTTAATTAAATATTTTTATATTTTTAATATTAAAATATTTTAATTTTTCTTTTTGTAATATTAATTTAATGGAACAAAATTTTTTTTCCTACTCCACTATCCCGTCATATTTCTCTTGATCCAAACAACCTCGAAAGTCCTAAAAGTAATTCATTTTATCGAGGTTGACATCACTGTATTGGTTAAGGCATCCGTTTATGTTTTCAACGGTCGTTCACCTCCTCCTTTGATAAAGCTTCACTTCTTTCTCCATGGAACTGTAAAAATTCATTTGATTTCCTTGAAAAATTTTTACTTTTATCACAATATGGCTTCAAATCATGTGGGACACCCTGTAAAGTTTCTAACTTTTAAATTATTTCTCAGATTCTTTACCAAGTAGTGATGAGTAAAACCCAGATCACGACTTTGTCCTTTTGTAGCTGAAACTAATGCTCTTCTTCGACCCCACAGCTGGCAGTTATTGCTCTCCTGATTCATCAAGTTAATGTGATTCTCTCTGGTTCTTTCCTTCATGGGTTTTGGTTCTCAATCCAAATTAATGGAGAAATTCAGGGTTTCTTGTTCTCTTCTCTGTTTCTTGCTTCCTGTAATCTTCATCCTAGTTCCAGTTTCAGCGCAGCTGTCGCGGAGTGACAGCAAGGTTCTTTTCCAAGTTCAGAAGCTTCTTGAATATCCAGAGGTTGTCCAATGGTGGACGAACTGGACCAACTTCTGTTACCTTCCTCCTTCTCCTTCCCTCAAGATTGTCTGCACAAACAGTCGGGTGACTGAACTTACCATCGTCGGAAACAGGAGTTCCCCTGCTCTTACCCAGAAACCGAATCAAGCTTTGTCCGGTCAGTTCTCCATTGATTCCTTGTTTACTACTCTAGCGAAGTTTTCGAGCTTGAAAGTTCTCTCTCTGGTGTCTTTGGGTTTATGGGGTCCCTTGCCTCCAAAAATCGACAGATTTCCGTTGCTGGAAAGTCTTAACATAAGCTCCAATTTCATTTCTGGGGAGATTCCGAAGGAGATTGCATATCTCAGCAACCTAAAAAGTCTTGTTTTGAGGGATAATCTATTCAATGGCAGTGTTCCAGATCTTACAGGGTTGGTGAATCTTCAAGAACTGAATCTGGGCAGCAATCATCTTGGTCCGGAGTTTCCTTCAGTAGTGAAGAATCTTGGGATTTTGGTGCTGAGAAACAATTCATTTAGATCCCAAATCCCTTCAGGACTCAACATCTTTGCTCAGCTCCGTCAGCTAGACGTTTCCTTGAACAAGTTTGTTGGTCCTGTTCCATCCTTCATCTTCTCTCTGCCCTCAATTCAGTACCTGAATTTGGCTCAAAACCAGTTAACTGGCGCTCTATCGGTGAACACATCTTGTGGGGCTAATCTCCAGTTCGTTGATATCTCTCACAACCTTTTGATCGGAAAATTGCCTGCTTGCATTGCTTCAAATGCTTCCAATGCTTCCAACCGAATGGTGATCAGCTCCTGGAACTGTCTGTCAGGTGTGAATTCAAATTCTCAACATCCCTACTCATTTTGCAACAAAGAAGCCTTCGCAGTGAAGCCTCCGGTGACACAAGAAAAAGAGAAAAAATCTAGTAGCATCAAAATAGGCCTAATTCTGGGCATCTTTGGAGGGGTTTTGGCCATTGCAGGGGTTTTGTCATTGTTGGTTTGCTTCATTGTCAGAAGATCAGAAACAGAAAGGGTTGAAGATGCAAAATATGACAGATCTGTTGCTGATAAAGTGTCTACTTCGAGTTCCTCAGTTCCACCCCTTATTCCAAGTAAGAATTATCATAGATGAGAAGCTTGTGGGTTGCATCATAATTTGTATTTTGGAAAACTGAAATTTTTTCTTGGTTTTTATAGGGCGTGTGCCACAGACAATGAGGTCAGCTGCCATCGGGCTACCCCCATACCGGGTTTTCACATTGGAGGAGATTGAAGATGCAACAAACAACTTTGACCCAACTAATTTCATGGGGGAAGGATCTCAAGGCCAGGTAAAAGATTGGTTGTAAATGTCTAGTTTCATCTCAAATGTGATGGAAAATTGGAGATGAATAAACCTTTTGGTTGTTACATGCTATGATGTTTGCAGCTATATAGAGGGTGGCTCAGGGATGGCTCGGTGGTGGTTGTGAAATGCCTAAAACTGAAGCAGAAGCATCTACCACAGAGCCTGCTGCAAGACTTGGAAGTTCTGTCAAAGTTGAGGCATAGGCATTTAGTGAGTGTTATGGGACACTGCGTGGTTACTTATCAGGATCATCCCAATACCGCCAACTCTGTGTTTGTTGTCCTTGAACACATATCCAATGGATCATTGCTAGACTATCTTACAGGTAAGAGCTGAGTAACATAGCAAAGGGAGTGTTAGAATGATAATTTTTTCAAGGAAATTGAGTTTCGTTTTCTATTTGGTAGATTGGAGAAAGAAGGAAATGCTGAAATGGCCACAGAGAATGGCAATCACCATTGGTGCAGCAAGAGGGATCCAATTCTTGCACACTGGAGTGGCGCCAGGCATTTTTGGCAACCATTTGAAGATTGACAATATCTTGTTGGATGAAACTCTTACTGCGAAAATTAGTAGCTACAGAATTCCCTTACCACCTACAGTAAGTACCAGGGACAAACTGGGACTACTTTGGAACTGCTACATAAGCAACATTACATTTGAATCTAATAACCCTTGTTTCTTATTTCAGATTGGATCAGAAAGCCCCCTCAACGGGCATGACAGTGCCAGTCGTATCCGCAGGTATTCTCTTCTTTCTCTTTATTCCTTCCCCTTCTAAATTCTGTTGAAGAACTTGGAGCTAACTTACAAGAGCTACTTTTGCAGTGATGATAGTGCAGAGAAAGAAGATATTTATCAACTGGGCATGATTCTACTTGAAGTCATTACTGGGAAACTGGTGGCATCCACCGAGGAATTAGATGAGCTGAAGCTTCAGGTATTGGGTTTTGATTCTTTTATTGCTCTTGACTGTATAGTATTTTGCAGTCCAAATTATGCAAAATTGCAAAATATAGACCATCCATGCCCCGTCAAACGGTTCATACCAAACTGCACAACAGTCTTGGATTACCTCCACTTTTTTTTTTCTTCTTTTTCTTTGTTTTTTTTTTGGCCATACACTTTTAGACTACTTAGAGCCTAAACTTTGCACTAAAATGCTTAATTCTCTTCACAGCTGGGAAGAGCCTTAGCAGAAGGGCCATCAAAAGTAAAAGGCATTATAGATCCCTCTATAAGGGGCACTTTTGCATATGAATCACTGAGAACAACAGTTCAGTTTGCCATAAATTGCCTTTGCAAAGATTCGAGCAAACGCCCTTCAATTGAAGATGTTCTTTGGAATTTGCAATATTCAATTCAAGTTCAAGAAAGCTGGACAAGCAGCGGAAATCTCAGTACTCAAATGTAATGTACCAATGTTTTGTTGAACTTCTCTCCATCAGTTATTCATAATTTCCTTGTACCATAATCTATCCCTAAAGTAACAATCAAAATAGTATTTTATCATTTACCTAAAACATTTCTAAATATTTGAAATAGGTTGGCTTTGCGTACATATCTTTGACTTGTGACATATAAAGGCATCAGGGACAAATAGGGTTGTCAACAATTACTTGAGCTCGATTCATACTTAACGAGCTCATGCTACATTGACATTTAAAGGATTGAGCTTGACTCCTTCAAAAATTAAGCTCGTGTAGCTCACGGGCCCTCCAGAAAAACACAGAGCAAAACCTCAGTTCGTCTAGTGAGTGACACTCAAGTCTAGCTCAAATTGAGTAGCTCTTCTCACAAACACAGCCCTCGGGGTATAAAGAAGTTGTTTAGAGTGGCTACAGGTGTTTCTAGGTAAAACGTCACAAAACTATTCAAGCATTGGTACTTAAACTAGAAACGAGTTTATACCTATTAACTTGAAACCCTTGCTTTGGAATTAAGATTAAAGGTTTAAACTCTTGTGCTACCATGCAACTAATTTCACCAATGTGCCAAAACCAAAAAGAGACCAAGAAGTAAATATTTTCTATTCTACACAAATGCAACAGAAGGTAGGAGTACTTCAATTAAGAGCATCCATCCTCCCTCGTAAGGCAAGCAACATGATCCAGTCGAAGGAGTTTGCAACACAATATCTAGTCTGAACATTATTTAAACAGGACATACGGCTGTTTTGATTTGAAGCTGAGAACTGAGATGAGCAATTAATCAGCAGTCCAACTTTGCTCAACAATCTCTCTCACTCTCCTATTGTATTCACGCTTGTTCTCACTAAACATTCGAGCAGCTTCAGAATTTGCAGGAGAATTTGGATTTGGATCACAAAGCAATGACTGCATTCAGAAAAAACAGGGCTCAGTGCAGAAAAGTTAATACAAAAGGGAGTCGAGCGAGAGATGGTGCTATTAGACATCAGATATCACACAATAAATCCATCACCATCACTAGTAGCCCAAGGGTCATTCATGTACATGTACCAAAAAAATAAAAGCCATTACAAGTGTGTAAGTAATTCTCTTAATCTTAAAGCAGGTTTCTATTCAGCCAAAAAGGATTAAATAAACGAGTTATTAACTCTATGAAAGGATTTGTTGGCCTATCTACTGTTTGCAATAGTGGGTGCGCAACAAAGAAGCAAATGAAAGACATAGGTAGAAAATTTGACGACACCATCCCAGTTCCATCCCATTGTTGCAAAACATTTAATCAGTGTAATGTCATGAGTTAGCACTTGAGCTTGTAGCTCAATTGGTAACATCCATGTTCCCCAAACTACAGTGTTGGGTTCAAATCCCCAAACGCCAATATCAATCAAAACTAAAAAAAAAAAAAGAATAAAAAAAGAATTTAATTGCATACTGGATCATCAACAAAACCCTACAGGATGTGACATAAGATTTTAATGCAGCAGTCACCCCGTGAAAAAAATATAAATATATATAAATGATATTCATTTTTTGTGGATAAGAGTCTCAATCACAAATTAAATGCTGTTCTTATCTTGATAAAATCAACAACATTCTGTTGCACGTTGAACTTATGCAGGAAATTAAAGTTGTTTTGATGGGGGATATAGGGTAATATACAAAATGCAGATGGGTTTTACATCCACTCCACAGCTTAAAACTCAATAACTTGCTTTAATGCTCCATTTATTTTATCAAATAATAATAATAATAATAATAATAATAATTTTATTGGAAAAGTATCCCAACCATTTTTATTGTATTGGAGTGCTTTTGGCATGCACCAAAATTTTAATATATTTTGGTATATTTTAAAATAATAAAGGCATCAACCAAAAACGCAGAATATGCTTTCGTCTAAGTTATTTTATCCGAAGCCAAAAGAGACTAAATCATGTCATGTCAAGTCCAACAGTCCAGCCTTGGCCTAGATGTTATCACCCCTCCTTCATGGGGGAAAAAAAATCATCTTATATTCCAAAAGAAAATATATAGTACCTGAATAGAGGTCAGAATTGCTGCCACGTCATAAATTGGACTCCACTGATTTTGTAAGATGTCCAGACAGATACTTCCATCTGCATAAACTGAAGAAAATGCAAAACAGAGGGAAATTTAGAATCATAGGAGTTAAAATTTATGATTGAACACAACATCTAAGCATGCAGATAGATCTTAAGTACATCATCATTCACTTAGAAGCTTGTGTTTACGTATAACAGCTGTAGCTTTTGAATGACTAGAAGATATTTAAATTTCAGATGCACTGGTGTTTGGTTGGGGGGAAACTTTTTCCCCTAAACTTTTCTCAACTTTCCCCCTTATAAATTTACTTACGTATTTTCATACATTAACACTACAACAAAAGGAGGGTAAAAAGGGGCATTTTTAGCCTTTTTTTTTCCCTGACACAATCCCCAGCCCATAAACTTTTCTTCCCACACTTTTTGAAAGGAAAAAATTTCCCCCCAACTTTCCCTAAATAGGATCCACTTGACAACTTTTCTACCAACTTTCCTTATACAAATTTCTTACCAAACACAAAGTTAACAATCCAACAAAATTTCACTACAAAACTTATCAACTTTTTGTTTAGTATGCTAACCACTTTTCCCTTAAAAAGTTTCCTAGTAAAGTTGGCCCTCTAACCAAACAGGCCCCACGTATTTAAAGGGGTAAGCATCACAGAATATCTGTATGGTAGTACTTTTTCTCTTTATACAAAGTGCTAGAGATCTTAAGGCATCAATCTCCACTATGTAAGTCAAGCTTTGACCTGCCTAAAAACTCCAGCACGAATTACTCCTCCCAGTCCCAAGCCCTTCCATCGGGCCTTTCTAATTGACAATACAATGACAAAAAGTTACCAAGAAAATAAAAGCTACAGTATAGGACCACACGCCCAACTTGTATTTCCACAATAACCAATAGTATTGCAATAAAGGAATAAATCAAATTTCAATTCTTGCATGCAGTATAAGTGTATATTGAAAATATCAATTAAAGATATGTATCTAAAGAATAAAGTTCATATCCAACTTACTGTTAGGATGGAACATCCGAGAGACAAAACGAACTGTTGGAGGCTTATTTGGATAGTCCTCTGTAAACTGAAGAGTCAATTTAAACGTACCTGAAGGAATAAAAAATATCAGAGCAGGCCCAATAACAGATAAAATATGACAGAAATCAGCAAAAAACTATGACCATTTACACAATACACTCAAAAAGTTGCTATGGGTGATTGTGGTTAGTTTGGTATAGTGCTAAATGTTAATGCTGTGGATTTCATGACTAATCCTGGGAGGGGAGGGGAGGGGAGGGAAGGGGAGCAGGCATGTAATTTAAGTACATGTAATTTAAGAAGTATCACAATCAGATTATTTGGTATTATCAATGCTTTCAAGTTCAGAGGTTGAAATATACAGATAAAATCAGCACTAAGTCCATTTGACATACCCAAAATAAGTTGTGTAAAACGTGGAACATCACTAGTCATTCTACTCCTGTCAAACCAGGGCATTTGAAAATCCTAATCTTCTATATTTTGTTGAAAGTAACAAATCTAAAGACACATGAGTTATACTGTACCTTTGAAGTAAAAAATTTAAGGGAATGGATCATCTTCATTTGATAAAAAAATTACAATATCACAAAACATTGCAAGCAGTGTGCAGATAAAACCCTTGGCAAGTGAGGAAAATTAATTAGATGCCAGAAAAGAAACACTACCATCAAGAGGGGCAAACAAGTCAAGTTCTAATCATACAACTCGAGCTCAAGCTTTGTTGGAGCCTAATCAAACCAAGCTTAATCAAGCTATGAGCCAATTTTGAGTTTTATACTATGATTGCTTAGCTAATGGATTCAAGCTTGAGCTGGCACAGACTCAGGTTAGTTTAATAGTTGAGCCTAATCAAGCTTAACATATATTTTACAAATGACATCATGAATCAAAGAATTTAAACATTTTCAAATACCAATCTTATAGGATCCTAATCAAGCTTAATCAAGTTCAGACGTATATTGTTAAATATTGATACATATGATTCAAATATCTTAAAAACTTTCAAGTTCAATCAAGCTTTAAACAAGTTTGAGCTTGTTTTGTAGAAAAAAAATAACTTTAATCTAATCAAGCTCCTGCCTCAAATTTGAAGCTCAACTGAGTTCGAGCTCAGGAAAATTGAATTGACTCAAGCTTGACTTTGGCATGGCTTGGTTCAACCCTATTACAACCTTATACCATCAAATATTTGCAGATAAAAATTGATACAAGATCCTCTTAAAATCAGAATATGCATAAGAAATTGAGGTTACCTCCATCCCATGGAGTGTCATCAGGCCTGCAAGTCAATCAAAAGGCATGAGTACAATTGCACTGAAACCTAACATTGAATATGAGAAGAGGAAAATAGAAAAAGCAATCCAATTTCCATTCATACCCGAATATAACTGCATTCCAAAGCATTATATTGTTATCTTGGGGTGCACCACTAATTCCAGCGGGAGGATCTTGTTGCAACCTCTTAAAATCTCTCATCAGTCTCTTCCTTGAAGGAGTTGACATCCTCACCGCCTATAAACTCAATAGGAAGCAACTGCAGTCAATATAAAAACGCATCCAGTGAAAGAACAAGCAAATAATAGTTCATCAACGTCAACCATAGTTCCACACTGGAGTCTCCAACAGACAATAGGTCGACAGAACACAACATAATTGGATGCAAATTTGCACAACAATCCACTAATCTAGCAAAACAAGGATGAATATAACATGATAGAGAACAGAAGATGGAGATATGAGGAGATTCATGCTTCTGGTTTTGCTCTCAATAACAACCGCAAGATCAGAAAGATCAAACCAGAAATTACAGCTCAATCATTGTTTAGACTTTAGATTCTCATAAAACATACACAAGGGTAAACCAAATGAAAGGAACTAAATCACCATGACCTTGCAAATGAAAGCTTATCTGCAGAATACCACACATAACCCTAGATCCATAACTCCATAACTACTTGCTTCCAGATCAACCAAACAACAACAATCAAAAGCTTGAAGCACCATGCTTAAAACTAAAGCTTGAAACATATAAATAATTTTGAGAAAAAAATCCGAATCGAAAAAAGCCAAAGAATCTAGGAAATAAAAGCAAACAGGAAAACGCTTACTTTGTGAACCAACGGCGGCGAGTGCTATTTCCGATTCTACAAGAGAAAACTTGAGAATCGCCGTAAGTGAAAAGGAATTTTTCCTCCCAAGATTTTTTCTCAGGAAACTAATAAGTTATATCAGGGAAACATAGAAGATTGACTTGACAACGTTGGCTTGGCTTGGCTTAGCTTGGCTTAGGTTTCAGCCATCGGGCAGTGTTTGGCAGAGTTTGTTTATGAGCCTTGTATTTTTCCCCTGTTTTTAATATAGGCAAAACCATAAGTTAAGCCCCTGAACTAACCCCAGAATCGCTATTAAGCCCCTATACTTTAATCGATGCATATAAGCCCTTAAACTCTGGGATCAATGCAATTAAGCCCTTCTTCTTACCCCAACTTAACTGCGTTTGGGACTCCGTCGCCTGGCTTTACTGCCGTTTGAGACACACCCGGTTGCTGCTTGGATGGCAAAATATTGCCAGGTAATGCTTACATGACAAGGATTTGACATTTGAGTGGGATTTTTGAGTTATTTAATTATTTAAA